CAAGTAAAGATTTGTCAACTTATGTCAATTTAGCTGAATAATTTCCCTCTCAACCAAACATAAAAGGGAGACTAACCAGTTTGACAATGTTTGGGTGGAGGTGACGCTTATGATGATTTCTATACTGACTACAGTGGTACAGTATTTTAATGTGTACGAAATATTTAAAGGCTAAATATAAAACCTCAAAACTTCAAGGGGTTACAAGATAGGCTAAATATAGCTTCAATATCTGTTTCAATGTCTAATATACAGCTCCAGATCTGTTGCCTCTGGTGAATTTTCAGTCCTGAAAATCAGGTTTGACACTACATGAAAATAAAAAAATTTGAAGGATTTAGTGTAATTATTGTTTTTCTGATAAAATATCTTAATAAATGTTATATTTACAGATAGACGATCTAACCCATATTCACTGATCAATGATGTGAACAAACTTACATCTCTAATAGCCCACACATCAAACATCTCCAATGGCAAACTTGTTGGCTTTAGTGATAAGGTATGAAATGGAATATTGATTATTTCCTTTTTGTATTTTATTTTTTCATATATTACATACAGTAGTAGCATAGTAAAGTTCCTCTTATTCTAACATATATGGAGGCCTAGCTATATTGCTCATTTAATATATCAGTGCTGTATGATCCTTATGGGCTTAGCACTTAGTTTTGATTATAATAATAATAATAATAATCTAACATATATGTATATTGCATTTCAGTACAGTGGAACCCCGGTTTTCATCTTTAATCCGTTCCAGAAAGTCAGCTGAAAACCGATTTGTGTGAAAATTGGAGTAATATTTCCCATAAGAAATAATGTAAATCCAATTAATCTGTTCCAGACACTCAAAAATATTAACAAAAAAATACATTTTATAGAGAATAAGTATAGTTTTACATACAGAAAATAATGAAAAATAATATATAAATGACTAATAAGATGGATAAATGAACATTTAATATCACTTTTACCTTTGTTGAAGACTCCTGTTGGCGTATGGAAGACGGCGAGGAGGGGAGAGGGAGGAGAGGTTATTGTTTGGAAGGGGAATCCCCCACCATAAGGACCTCAGGTATCAAAGCCCTATCTGGGGTTACTGCCCTTCTTTGTCTTTTACTGGCACTTGGACCAGCTTGAAAGTCACGGGGACCCCTGCGCCAAAAAACTGCCCAGAGAGGCCTTTTTTCGGTGTCCTTTAAGTTTTGCCTAAAAGGGACAGACTTTCTTGAACATTTTTGGGGCATGGCGGAAAAGCTTTGTTAGGGTGTATTTCCCACAAAACTTTGCCCCTCACCTACTTTCCACAAATGCCCCTTAATCGCTAAAAAGGAATTCTCCCCCCCCTCCTTCCTCCTCTGAAGAAATTTTCCTTGCTAAGGTTTTGCTGTTCCAGATGAAGGTCTTGCAGCCTTCAGGGGTTAGGGGCTCCCTGTATTGTCCACTGACACTTCCACATTTGGCCCCCACCTCCAACCACGGGGTTCCCCAAAGACACAGAGATTCCTAACAGGTGAGGGTCGTGGGGTCAGCTTAAAACCCCTTAAAATCCTTCTGGAGGACACAGTCGGTCACAGTTTTCTCCAAGAAGAATTAATCGCCTTGAAGTTTCCCCCTGTCAATCTTATCTAAAAGGTTATGCAGTTGAGGATATTAAAGTGATTCCCCCGAACTCTTGGGTCAATTTATGTCCCCGGGCACTTCGAATATTGTTAAACATTGGTTTGGGTAGATTTTTTTGAAATTTGAAATGACCCCTGGTCCCGGGGGCTTATTAGCAGTTGCAACACAAAAAAAAAAGAATTATTATGAAATGTTTTGGATGAATGCAGGAGTTGCTACTGAACAAAACAAAGGGAGATGAGTCACAAACGTATGAGAACCACATCCCGCGGGCAGGCGAACATCAGTGTGAAAGATTTCTGAGCGGTTTCGAAAATGGGGAAAATTTGCTGAAAAAAATGTTGAAAACTGAAATTGTACGACAACCCGAATGGACGAAAATGGGGTTCCACGTTTATTTTGTAAACCCTGTGCAATGTGATAAAATGTATCACTGTTTTTTTACAAATTATTTGGCTATCTTTTTTTTTTCAGATTTTTCGAATCTTTTTGCTGTGAAAATGAAAAGTGCGATAGTAAATTTTAATTGAAAGTTAATGGTGAGATTCGTTGGACACCCTGTACGCCTTGACCCCCTACAACACATAGTCGTCCACAAGACAAGCGAAAGTCATCAACAATCATTCCTTTTCAATATTGTCTTTGCATTAAAGGTGAATACTTCATTTTTATGAAAAATACAGTTTAATGTATAGGCAGAATTTAATATTACTTAATTTGTCATATATTAATTAGGTCAGCAGAATTTTATTAAACTTTCAGTACTAGCTTTGACATATAATACTGTAATATTTATTTTTAAATACCTGAATATGAGCTGTAGATAGATATACATATGCAAAGTACAGTATGTATAAATATAAAAATACTGTACAGTCTCTCCTCACTTAGCGACGTAATCATTTACCGACGACTGAGACGATGAGATCTGACCAGTATGCATACCTAAATAATGTATACTAGAGCTGATTTCCTCTATTCTGTTTACTACAATGTATAGTACACTATAAACACTTAAAAATTTACTAAAAATGTTATAAATGGTGCAAAGGTGACATTAAAACAATATCAGAGATAGTTGACACAAACTCACTAACTTATAGTATACTCCCTGCTTAGCGACGAATTCGTTCACCAATGTGGTCTCAGGAACAGAACTCCATCGTTAAGTGAGAGGTTGTACTGTATAGATCAAGCTATGGTGCCTCTGGTTCTCAGGAATTAATGTTAAAAATTACACTATAATAAATAAGCAGAGTTTCTCCTCATTTTATTACACAACATTGAGCTTCATATTTTCATATTTTTGTTTCATCGTGGCAGTTCATTTTGTGTCCAGTTCATACTGTACATGTTTCCTCCATTTACAGTCATATATTTATATAGTAACCATGTTATATTTTTCACTTGATCTACTATTTTATGCATTTATGTAGCATATAATGGCTATCTATTGTACTGCATGTCGTAAGAAGTGACTAAAATGCCAGGAGTAAGGGGCTACTAACCCCTTCTATATAAATTACTAACTATAAAAAGAAAAATTTTCATTTTTCTTTTTAGGTCACCCTGCCTCGGTGGGATGTGGTAGTGCATTAAAAAAGAAAGACTTATGTTTCTTCTTTTTTGGGTTACCCTGCCATGGTGAGAGATGGCTGGTGTGTTAAAAAAATTTATACAGTACTGTTATGCAGTGAAATGCAAAAAAAAAACAGTCTCTGAGGATTTTCTTCAAGTTTATTTTCATAAGCATATTTTTAGATTAATATTTTTGATGCAGTCCTGTATTTCCAGTATTCATCCTGAGTTTTATGTTGCCATCTTAGTTATGACTCAAAAACTCTCAAAACTGATCAAATAAAAGTACAGTGGACCCCCGGCTTACGATATTATTTCATTCCAGAAGTATGTTCAGGTGCCATTACTGAACGAATTTGTTCCCATATGGAATATTGTGAATTAGATCAGTCCATTTCAGACCCCCAAACATACACGTACAAATGCACTTTCATAAATACGCTTGCATAATTGGTCGCATTGGGAGCTGATCGTAAAGCGGGGGTCCACTGTATACAGTGGACCCCCGCTTTACGATCACCTCCCAATGCAACCAATTATGTAAGTGTATTTATGTAAATGCGTTTGTACGTGTATGTTTGGGGGTCTGAAATGGACTAATCTAATTCACAATATTCCTTATGGGAACAAATTCGTTCAGTAATGGCACCTGAACATACTTCTGGAATGAAATAATATCGTAAACCGGGGGTCCACTGTATTATGTTATTTAATGTAACAGTTATTTGCAGGCAACCTTAAACCATGATGTTGTGAATTGCTACCATGATCTGAGTATGAGGCTTGGGTTGGCTCTGCGTCATGAAGAGTACCGCTGCCAATTTCTCTCATCTGAAGCTAAGATTATGCTTGCAGCTCATGATGAGGTATTAGAATTATTGTTACTTAAGTTTTCTATTTATTTTTATGCAGTACATATAGTATATTCTTCATGGGAAAGTGGAACAGAATTCTTCCTCCTCAAGCCATGCACGTCATAAGAGGCGACTAAAATGACGGGAGCAAGGGGCTAGTAATCCCTTCTCCTGTATATACGTGTATTAACAAATTTAAAAGGAGAAACTTTCGTTTTTCCTTTTGGATCACCCCACCTTGGTGGGATTCGGCCAGTTTGTTGAAAGAAAGATATATTAAAACCATGTTATTAATTTTTTAAGAACCACCACCACAAGCACCACCATAACAACCACCATGACAGGCACCACCTCCTCCTCCTCCTCCTCCTCCTCCTCTCTCTTCCTCTCCTCTCCTCCCTCTTCCTCTCCTTTCTTCCCTCTTCTCCCTCCTTTTCCTTCTCCTCCTCCTCCTCCTCCCTCTATTGTCATTATTCTTCTTTGTCTTCTACTGGTACTGCTCATTTCATTTTTTCTTTTCAATTTTCTTTTTTTCTTTCTTTCCTTTTCTATTCTGTCCTGTTCTTTTCTTTTCTTCCATGTTTCCTTCCCTTTCCAAACCTCCCTTACCTGCTGCCTTACCCATTTTACACCATTGACTCAATGTAATACATAACAGATACCTCCCCACCATTTATATTGAAGCATATAATGTATTGTAAAACAAAGTGAAGACACTGTATAGTGTATTATAAAACAAAGTGAAGACACTGTATAGTGTATTATAAAACAAAGTGAAGGCACTGTATAGTGTATTGTAAAACAAAGTGAAGGCACTGTATAGTGTATTATAAAACAAAGTGAAGACACTGTATAGTGTATTATAAAACAAAGTGAAGACACTGTAAGTGTATTATAAAACAAAGTGAAGACACTGTATAGTGTATTATAAAACAAAGTGAAGACACTGTATAGTGTATTATAAAACAAAGTGAAGACACTGTATAGTGTATTGTAAAACAAAGTGAAGACACTGTATAATCTTTATATTCACTAGACTTTCCTAACCTCAGTAGTACATTATTATTATTATTATAATCAAGGGGGAAGCGCTAAACCCGGAGGATTATACAGCGCCTGGGGGGGGGGGATGTGGAAGGCATTCAGGCTTAATTCGGGGAACTGGAGCTCAGATCCAATTCCCTAAATCAAGAGCCCCTCAGTAGTACAACCTCAGTTTACATTTCCTTACTTTTATTAGTTTGCTTTTTCACAATAGCCATAACATCTGGACAGTTTTTGGAATATTACTATACCCAATTTTTTGCAACTTCCTATAATTCTTTCTTTAAATATTTTATAATTTCTTTAGTAAACAGTCACAGGCTTAGTATTAGTGATCAAAATTCATTTCAGTTACAAAATAACTTTTTTCTGTGTGTGGTTTCTCAGGCTTCCCAGCTGCCAGAGGATGGTCAAGTCTCACCATTTCAGCTAATCTTGGACCGAAGCCTGCTTGCTCGGCACCTCAGGCAAGTTTATGAAGAGTGAGTGTCAGCAGTCAGAATCAAAATTTTTTTTACAAAACAATATGGTACATGGGTAGGTAATTTTAAGGATAATATTGATAGGATCACCTGAAGATTTGTTTCCCCTCTTTCCTTCCCTCTGTCCTAAGGAAAACAGTTACAGTTATGAAAATTTTCAACTTTTCCTCTTAATGTCAATATTAATTTATTACATACCTTTCTAAGCAAATTTTTTAATATCCATACATTATTTGGTTTAGGTAGCATTGCTGTCTATTAATTCTTTTAATTGGTTATAACATAACAATAATGCTGATAAACTCAATCATTTTTTTTTTCCCACCTAGGCTGGGTGACCCAAAAAAGAAAGAAAATCTCCAAAATAAAAATACTTTCATCATTCAACACTTTCACCACACTCATACATAATCACTGTTTTTGCAGAGGTGCCCAGATACAACAGTTTAGAAGCATATATAAAGATACAGTATAAAAAGTGACCTGAAATAATATAATAAACTCAATAATACAAGTGATAAAAGCTTTGAAGCATGAACAGAGACCAACCGAGCAAACTGTAAAATACACTGTCAAATAATCAGGTTTATGTTTTAGTGTTGCTCTACTGATGATCTTCAGCCAAATTTAAACACTGATGTTATTTAAGATGATTTGCTGGAATTGTTTATATGCTATTATTTTCATTTTGAAACAACATAAATATTACTGCTTAATTTATTTAAGCTGTATAAGAATTTTTATAACCTTAGCTAATTGTTTGCCTTTTGGGAAAGTAAATTTTCACGTTAACCAATTGGTACAGAAAGGCTCCACTTATTCAGCACCCTCTTTTAGGTGTTCCAAGTTTTCGTTGGTTTTCAATTGAGCCATTATTCATTATGTTCAGTGTTTTTATTGCTTTTCCACCAGTGCCATATTTTATGGTAAGTGTTGTATGTACTGTGTACTTATTTTACTTTTTTATATGCTTTTTATGCCTAGCTGTATTGAGCACTTAATATATGATAGTGTAAACACATTATCAGGCATTTTAGATGCATTTGATAATGAAAGAATGCTCTTTTTCCACCTGCCAGCAATTTTCACTTATCACAAGGGGTCAGGAACCTAAGAGCCATGCAAACAGGGTCCTCCTGTATGTAGTGTTTTTGGCTGCCCCTATGTTATGCTCTCTCAACCAGAGTCAGGTAAGAGGTACATTGAATCAGAATTAAATAAACCATACTGCTTGGCAGTCTTAGGTTATTAACCTCTGGGATTAATAAGCCAAAGAAGGTTGTTGTCATTCAGCTTTCTCCTGGTCTGAATTATAGTGCTCACTTTTCACATACGTACATGCTATATTTACTCTCATAATCTCGTTTAATGTAATATTGTGTAATATGGTTCATTAGATTATATCTTATTTTACATCAGTACAGATATAATAGTGCTTTTATTATTCCTTGAAATTGAAATTAACTTAGTTTAAAAATTTGTGTTTCTCTCTCTCTTAATTTTCAAAACAAGTTGTGAATAATCCTGTAGTGTAAAGTATCTATCATAATGTTCTCTTGTTAGTATAGGTACAAAGTTTCCTGAATACATAATGATCTTTTGAAGCCACAGTTTCTTTAATTTTTCTTCAGGTTGTGTGGATTAGGTATTGTTCAACTTCGACTCAACAAATGGATAGAAGTTAGCTTTTGTTTGCCACAGAAAGTTCATCACAGTTTAGCAACTGGTCGGCCAGTTGATGTAAGTTTTATTGTTGCACCAGTAATTTTTTCTATTATCATTACAATATTTTTTTTTTTTTTGTCAGGCATTTATTTTGAATGTCAAACAGATGCCAGTATATTTCTGTCTTTTGTGTTGTCTGATAGGTGTAATAGAAATGAGAAAAGTGTTTGCATATTCTGTTGCCTTATTCCAGTTGAGGGTTGTTGATTTACACTTAAGAATAAATTTTCCAAGTAAAACATCACTGATGGCATTCATTGTATTATTAACATATGAAAACTGTATAATCCACGAGAGTTGCTTTTGATTATAGGCAATTTTAGTTCATCTTGATTCTTTTAAGGCAGTTTTGTGCTCTTAAAACAATGGGGTTTCAAGATACAAAATAGACATTGTTGGAAATTCCCCTTAAATATACATGCTGTACAAACCAAGTTATATAAACTTATTTTTTTTAATACAGTGATCATCTACCAAGATAAGGGGGACTGGGTTATACTGGAAACATGTTAGAATGTGTGTTATTGGAGAAGTTACTAAACAATGTAACTTAAATATGGTGTAACCAAAGAAGTGATGTATGTCTTTTACTGTAGCATTTATCATTTATTCACAGTGTGAAGGGCTTCTTCGAGGGCTAAAAACCTTGAAGCCATACCACACATTGCTTCTTTTGGTGGAGCGGTCAGAACTCCTACATACATTGTCACCAGATGCGTCACAAGCTCTCTGGCGATTACTTCATGTAGAAGAGTCACATCTAACTCCCTTCTTCACATTAGCTGCTGATGCTGACCTTACTCTAACTCAGGTTTTAATGGTATGTAGTACCAGGTTAATCAGTAGATTATTGAATTCAGAGATAATGTGTAATAAATGTTTGGTATGTATTTTATTTTAACTGCTGGGTGTGAATTGAAGGAAATTCTGTTCAGGCTGTTTTTATTCAATAGAAAAACAATTATACTCTCTTCCTTAATTATGGATTAATGTTTTTTACCCTGCTAAATCAATTTATGAGTTGGTTTAAGCTATTTACTTTGTAGAAAAAGTGTATGTGTGTATGCATTTATTGAGCACTGAACAGTATCAGAAATTTCACAGGCAGTGTTACTTATTTTATTTCTAATAAAAGTTCATTGGAAACCAAGGAACTATAATACTGATCTTTGCTTTATATATTATATTCTTGTTTACACATTTATCCAGATATAATGTAATTTGTAAAGTCTTTTTAAGCTCAACTCTAAGTACTGTTGAGTCAAAATCAATATCATATCTACAGTAGGTATCATGAAGGATTAAGCTGTTTTATGTAATATATCTGTGTATATCAGAATAAGTATTCTCTCTTCTATCTTTCTAATTGTTGGGGAATATTTGATTTTCATCAATATAGAGTAATATTAGCTGTAGCATGGGTACAGTTTTTCACTGCTGTCATCTGTGTGTTGCTCTTAAAACACTTTCTTGCTACAAAAACTTTCATTGAATAAATCATGCATTATTGTTATTCATTTCTTCAAAGGGGTGATTTGATGTTGGTAAATGACTCTTGATCCCTGTTTTGGAATCAAACTTTTACAGTACCTTTCATTCCCCAGATGCTGTATAACCCCTATGGGTTTAGCATTTCTCAATGAATATAATAATATTGTAACATTGATTTAGCATAAAAAGTAAAGAATGACGTGCTCTGATAAAGTATTTAATGTCATATTTCATGCAGTGTCATTCACTACAGTGTGCAGTTAATCGCTCTGTCATGTTAATGTTCCATGTTAAACTTGCTTATTTTGCTTGTAGATTACAACATTATGAAATTGGAAGTCAATTTTTTTCTTATATTGGCAGTCCTTTAAAAAAATAAATCTATGTTGTGCTTGTTAGGAATGTTGCATTTAGGGAAATACAGAAATTTCCAGACCATTCTTTAACACTTCCAGCTAGTGGGTCACCTAGTGTACTGGGGCAAGGCTACTATCATATACCCTGTCTGCAGTACCAACATGTACGCTCTATCTCCAAATGCTCCCACCATTTTGTAAGTATAATTTATACAATACTGTATTGCTTGTATAAGATACAGTAAACTAATAAATGCATCTACTTTGCTTTGTTTTGTTTTAAATAAAAAAAAAAATGGTGTGAATCAGCTATTCATACCATTTGAGACAATAGGACTGTGCACCAAGAAATTCAAATTGCAACCAGTTGAAAAGAATGATGCATAGGTCAATATGGGAAAATAAAACAGAAAAGTTGTAGAATATGTGCCTTATTTAGGCTTATTTAGTGGTCAAATAAGCCTTATCTTACTATAAAGGTGTGTGTAAGGACAGAAAACTTTTACAAGAGTGTATATTTAATGCTGGATGGTTTGGTGAATTTAACCTCTAAACTGTGGCATACCTACAAATAAAAATTCTTGTATGTGTTGGAAGATTTTGAAAAATAAGTAGAATGAAATCTCCATGGGGAAGTGGAACAGAATTCTCCCTCCATAAGCCATGTATGTCATAAGAGGCAACTAAAATGCTGGGAGCAAGGGGTTAGTAACCCCTTCTCCTTTATACATTATTAAATTTAAAAGAGAAACGTTCATTTCTCTTTTTAGGTCACCCTGCTTCGGTGGGATACAGCA